AAAAAAAAAAAAAAAAAAAATAGTCTTTTCTTCTTGTCTGTCTTCTCCTTTCTGGTGCTACTGGGAATTGACTCCATGGCCTCGGCACTGAGATACAACTCCAACCCCTCACCTCCATCCTTTTATTTTTTAAAGACAGGGTCTTACTAAGTAGCCCAGGCTGGCCTAGAATTTAAGTCTTCCTACCTCAGCTGTCTGAGTAGCTGGGATTAGAGGCATGCACCACTGCAGCCAGCAGATTACATTTTGTACTGTTTTGTGTTTTGGTATCGGAGATTGAACTCAGGACCTTGTGCTTGCAAGGCAGGCGGCGGCACCGCTGAGCTAAATCCCCAGGCCAAAAGAATACATTTTCTTTTTCATAAATAGGTCAGACAATATTACATGGGAAATCTGGAGGGGGAACTATAATTTTGTCAAAGGTGGGCAATTCAAGTGTGTTAATTTGAGCTAGGGCATGTTGATACGTCCCTGTATCACAGTTAACTTGGGAGACTGAGTCAGGAGGATCACAAATTCAAGGCTGGCCAGACAATTTCTTGAGAGCCTATGTCAAGAAAAAGAAGTGTTAAATACTTTGAAACAAGAAAAATCCAGATCCATGTACTAGATCTGCTTCACCAGATACTATTTAAAGATACGATCGATATATATACTTTAGCAATGGAGTGACAAGATGTGATTTTTGGTTTAAAGAGTGTATCTGGCTTCGCCGAGGATTCAGCTCAGTGGTGCCGCCGCCTGCCTCACCAGCGCAAGGTCTCAAGTTCAATCCCCGGTACTACGAAAAGAAAAGGAAAATGCATCTGGCTGAGAATGGTGGCACACACCTATAATCCCAGTTACTATGGGGAAGGGAGCTCAGGCAGGAAGATACAAAGTTCCAGGGCAGCCTGAGTATGTAACAAGACCATCTAAAAGTAAGATCAAAACAGCCAGGGATGTAGCTCTTGACCAACATACGCAAAGCCCTGGGTTCAATCTCCAGCACCACACACACACAGCACACCTTACTGTTCTGTGACAATTACTGAGGAGACGATGTGAATGGGTGTAGGGTAGCAGGTTCAAGGTCAATTAAGGCAGCAGTCCCCAACCTTTCGGCACCAGGACTGGTTTTGTAGAAAATAATTTTTCCACAGACTTGAAGGCAGGGGTTGGAATGATTAAAGAGTATTACACTTATTGTGTATTTTATTTCTATTATTAGATTGTAATATATAATTAAATCAACATACAACTCACCGTACTGCAGAAGCAGCGAGAGCTCTGAGCTTTTTTTCCTTCAACTAGATGGTCCCATCTGGGAGAGAGGGGTACAGTGGCATCTGATCTGTGCTGCTTATGTCCAGTCTACTCTGTCACTTCGTTTTGGATGCTGTCATTGCAAAAGACCCTGCTTCACAATGATGGGTTGTTGGAAGTAGGCTTTTTGGTGCCTTTGTAGAAATCTCAGGATAGTCTTCCTTGATGTAAACCCAGAACATATGGACACTTGAAATTGTCTCAGACATACTTTGAAGGCCACCATAATTGTGACCCCAAAAGCTGATCCTTTTCTAGCACAGATAAAGTCAAGGGTTATTTATCTGGCTTATTCACAAGTGCATTTTGGGTCCATTCCTTTCTAGTTTGGGTCTTTGGCTAGGAAGTAATGTTTAAGCTCTTTTGAAAGCTGATATAGGTGCTTATGCACCAGCTTGGAGATAGAAGGTTCCAGATTAGTCTCTTTTCAAAACCTCTGCAAACATTTAAAATAGGCCAAAAATCCCAGTGTTTACTTGTCGGCCCCATAATTCCAATTTGGCTTTGAATGCACCCACTTTATCTGACTTGAACATAGTTGATATTCTCCCTTGAAGTGACAGAATGAGTTTGTTGAAAAGGTCGAGTATGTAAAAACTGAAATACTCTAGCCAGTGTGACAGAAATCTCACTTCTGTAAGAGAAGGTGTACTTGACATTCATCTCTTCCCAGAGCTGTACAAACAGATGGGTTAGGCGTGTGATTTTTAACATGGTCGATCATTTTAATCACATCCTGCAAAAACAGTAAGTTCAGGTGACAGCCAGCATTTCTCTATCAATGATACAGCTTGCAGACTCACATTCAGAAGCAACTTCTGACTCAAGCAGTGAAACCAGAAAGCTGTCCACAGGGTGCTGCCCCATCTGTGCATATACCAAAATGACCAATCCAGTTTTCTTAATATGTAATCATTCAAAGACTTGAATATGCCTGCAGCTGTGATGTTGGCTGGCAACAAAAAGTACACATAACATATCCTCATGCACATCCTTCTGAAAAATATATTGTTGCCAAAACACGGATTGTTGACTTGTTATAACACTGGTAAACTCATCGACCTGGATTGGGTACCACAGTGAGTTAGAGTCCTCTCTAACAACGGTGTCCTAATTTCTTTTATTTTGTTAGTTCATTAAGCTATGGTGCTAGCCGAAAGAGGAACATGTGACCTTCTGAACTGCAGCCTCTTCTAGATATTCATGACAAATGTTCTTAGCAGTAGGCAGGATTAATTCTTTTTTGTTTGTTTTTTGAGATGGGGTCTCATTGTGTAGTTGAGACTGACCTGGAACTCACTATGTAGCCCAGGCTGGTCTCGAACTCACAGTGATCCTCCTGCCTCAGCCTCCTGAATGCTGGGATTACAGGCACAGGATTAATTCTTTAGCAGTAGTAGAGGGTTTCTTTTCCACTACGAATAACGCTTTCAGTGCAGACATATTTGATGAAGTGTGGGCCTTTAATAATTGCTTCTGTTCTTTGTGTTTACTTTTTTGGTTTTGTTTTTAAAAATGCCAAAAAATTATCCTCTAATGCAGAGCGCTGGGTTTCCATGTGGTGAAACAATTTTGAAGGTTTCATGGCTTCACTGGGTAGGTAGGTGCCACATAAACATCCAAGGCGGGCTTGGAGAATGTGCATCACCTATTGCAATGAACTCAAAATTTAAGTAGGGCGCTTGGTATTTTCTTTTAAATGGAACTTTCTTTCCTGTTGGCAGTCAGTCTCTTGCTGTCTCATCATTGGATTGTTCCCCCTTTTCAGAAAAGCTCTTCAATGATGTTTTTTACTCATTTTAGCTAAGATAGTGTGTGGACTTACTAAAACTATACCCAGTGAAGGAAAGAGGCACAGCAGAACTGGAAAATAAAATAATACGCAGGCCATACAGAGACTAAACTAAATGTCAAATTGTCGATTAAAACCTGCCAACAGATAAAGCTCTATAACTGAAGTACATTGAGGTATTTGTCATGATAAAGCCTGCCACCAAATGCAGCTTAACTATCACCTGCCACTCACTGACAGTGTTTTTTTGTTTTCTTTTTGTTGCTGTTGTTTTTGGTTTTTTTGAGACAGGGTCTCACTATGTAGTTGAGATTGACCTGGAACTCACTATGTAGCCCAGGGTGGTCTCAAACTCACAGCGATCCTCCTGCCTCTGCCTCCCCAGTGCTGGGATTACAGGCATGAGCCACCACGACCGGCCTTTTTTGTTTTTTTTTAAAGTGGAGATTACAGGGTTTTGATATGAGTCTGCTTGCAACTGATAATTATTGTGGGCTCCGTATTCACACCTTTCTGCTCAGCGGCTCCCCAG